ACAAATGAAATAAATATTAATTATTTAATTCCTATATCAATTTTGATTTTGTCGTTAGAAATTTGGAATTGCACTTGCGGCAACCTGCACTAATGCTATTTGAAGATAGCTAACAACAAGTAAGCTTTTGATACTGTTATTGAAATAGTAGGGGAGACCGAGGAGGAAAGTAACAGAGGAGGAAAGTAACAAAGCTTATAACTTTTAAACAAATTATCGGATAGACATGGTTCAAACATATTTTTAGACGGCACTGTTCCCCCTTCCTCCTCCATAGTGTGTCCGAGCCTGACAGGAAAGGTTAGGTCTGATTCCGGTGTGACGTGAAGAAAAAACGTCAAAAGTAAGTTTTCGTTCAAATTTTCAAAGTCTCGTATTTCTTTAATTTTATTGTTTTTCAAAATGTGCCTTTCGTTATTTTGTAGCCTTATTATCTGTCTTTAAGTTGTGCTTAAACAAACAATTTAACATTTGTGTAGTTTTAACTTTTTTGTTGACATACAAGAAAAAAGCGACCGAGGAGGAAAGTAACACGCTACTTTTCTCCAGTTGTCGATATTGTCCATGTTTTAACTAATGATTGAAGCAAATCGTATTTAATTTTACGAATAACAGAGATTTATTTAAGAAAAACCTGTGATCTAGGTAAGCATAAAATATGTTTAAGAAAAAAAATGAGCTAAATTCATAAAATGTTCGAAATATGTCCCAAATATGTGCCAAATAAGTATAAAGGGTACTTAAACATTTATGTGTTCCTAATAAAAATATTTCTAATTAATAATAGTCATTAGTCTAAAGAATTTTACATAATTTGATACTGTTACTTTCCTCCTAGGAGCTTGTTACTTTCCTCCTCGGGGGTGAGGAGGAAAGTAACAGATGAAGAGCTTGCGTAAAAGTTATACTGTGAACTGTCAATTTATTATAAATGTTTAATTCAAATTTTATTTAAAAGGTGAATGTCCAAGCTTTCATTTAATATATTGGACAAATTTATCCGACAAATATCTTTAATGCTAGCATAAAAAAAACTGATTTTTGTTACTTTCCTCCTCGGTCTCCCCTATCTGTAATGTTTCGGAGTTTTGGTAAATGCTGTTTTAGAACAGTGAACATTAAAATAAAATGTTAATTCATATTTAGCGCCCAACCACTTAAATGGTCTCGCAGATTGGTCTTATTCAGTGCTTAGTTAAACTAACCAGTTTGTGCAGCAACTAACGCATTTGGCGCTGAGGCAATTACAACACTTCTCTTCGGATATATATATAGAAGCACACGCGGCTCTCTCTCTCTCCAGAAACAGACTGTGGTCCACGGGATAATCCAATAATTCCATTAGGGCATATTATAACGCAGCAAAGTTCCATCTCAAGCATCCACTCGTCCCAAAATTGCCTCAGGTGTATACTCAGTTCTACCGTTGACAAGTAAACGCCAAAACGCCAACCAAAATATATATATATATATACATACAACTATAAAGCGACATTGACTTCCGAGCGGAGATTGTTGCTGCTCATAAACAACAAACCTCGACTATATTCAATTTCCAAACTTGACACTTAAATATTTTTTTTGCGGATAAATAGTAGGACAAACAATAAATAATTTTCATTATGAATTTATATTTTTATGAAAATTTTTTTACGAGCAACTTGGAAAGTGTAATTAGTGTCATTAATATTAATAAGAAGTAGAATTAGCCCTTGAGGATGTAATTAATGATAGTTAGAAATCGTCCGGTAAATATTTGTACTAAATATTATCGTGCGTCGATAAACATGTTACCGACCGCGGAGCACAAAGACGTAGTACCCGATTTCGCCGCGCGGGCCGCATCGCCAAAGCTCACTCGCGTACGCCCAGCCCACCGATCGGCTATATAAGCTGCGCTCTCGCTGAGGACCGTCATTCTCGTGCTACACGGAGTCCGGGTGGGTTTTACCCACTTGACTAGGAGTTTTACTCTCGTTCGTCGAGTTTGACCCGTCGAACATTTTATCGGATTTAATGTATATAGTGTATAGTAACGAATTGTAAAATAATGTGTCGCGATATAAAGTAACGTATAGTAAAGAATTGTAAGTAACGTATCAATATGTAAAGTAACGTAACGAATGTATAGTAAAGAAATATTGTATTCCCGTAGTTTGAAATAGATTTTCCGTTCTTTTTACCGTTTTTAGATATACTTAGAGTTTTACTCTTCGTATAATTAGAACGAACAAGTTTTACTCGTAGTTCACTAGAATATCGCGAATTTTTAGGCAGTATTGCAATTGATTTCACGGCTCCTCGCTGCGAGTTTGAAGCCGATTTCGTTAATGCGCGGTTCAAATAAGCGACGTTATCAGATTGATGCCGATTCTCGATTCCGCGGCTCAACGTTTAGCGATAGATGCCGACGCAATCGTTGTGTGAAACCGATTTCCGCGATTTATTTGTACGCCTGTATATTTTCGTCACCTGTAAATACCGTTGTAAATAAATAATTTGTTTCAGTTTGTAATTAACCCGTAATTATTCTGTTATTATTTTTGTTGGAATCAAAACAAACCCTGGCTCGGCGAGCTAAAACATTGATTCTTACAATTACAAACGTTACAAGGTACACATGAAACTGGAGAGCAATGCTTAGAATCATATATGCCAAATAACCCTCTCTAATAATTCTCGATCCATTTAATAATCCGCAAGAATATTCCAAAGGAATTAAGAAATTAGATTCTGGTTCCTTTTTTTCAAATTGATTGAATTAATACCAAATCTTCGAAAAATATCCCCAATTTCATCACCTCTTTACTGCCATTCCGTTACGAAAGTAATTTGGCACTACTAATAATCCACTATGTCTATTTTTATTTATAAAGCGCCAAACGGTGTTAACATCGTGTCCGATTTTATTTTCAAAGCTATAAATGTATTCGGTGTGAAGAGTGATTGCACTCAAACAATTGCACTCTGACCTAACAGAACTAAAAGCTTTGTAATTTTTCAGGAATTGATTCCTTTTAAAATGATTTATGCAAAATCTTCTTTTTTTTGTATCGTGTTTTAATTTTCTTTCTTATTGTCTTTAATTAAATAAACTATAAGAATTAAATTTGAATCTCATTTGACAATTTCTTTTATTTAATACCAGTAAGTTTATGGGAAAAACGATTCCGCAAATAAAGACATATAATACTCTAAATGAATTCATCTATTGTGACTATTTGTACCCAAGTGGGTCGAGTTACGACAACTAAACTAAATTAATTTATAGCACGTTTCTATCTTTAATTAAAGATTAATTAAAGACTAAATAATTATACAGTCTGATTAGAAATAGAAATATCTCACTCGAACGTATAAAACTACACAATTTTCTATTATTTATCGCCATCAATCGAAATGGATTCTACAATCAACAAAATATCATCAAATTAAATTGTAGAAAGAATTCCATTTATTCAATCTTTTTTACAAATATGAATTCTACAAACTTTCTGTATCAAAAAAGTCTTTCTTTCCAATCCAATGTAATAATTAGTGATCTGTCAAGGATAATCAAATATTTTATATAAAAACGAATTAACGAAATAAAAACCGACATGAAGAGAAAATTTTTTTTCATTTTTATTTGCAATGAAATTTTTATCTTGTGAAATGGTAAACATTCTCCAGTAATTGGAGCATTGATTTTGCATAGAGACGTAAAATTTATATTTTTCGTGGAGAGAAAGATACGGAGAATATGTATACATTGAGTTGAATCGATACTATCTTTTTTTTATGACCCAGAAAAAGTAAAAACGAATAGAAAAAAAAGATTCATATATATATATAGAATATTTATTTCTATTCTTGATTATATATACGAGAAACATGAGAATACGTCAAGTTTCAAAAATAGTGCCAAATGGGTTGAGTCGATGTGACAACTTTTTTTTTTTAACTCCCCCTTTTAGTCTTGATTATGCTCTCAAGGCATTTATATCCTTGACGCGCTCAGAAAGTCAGAAAAAAAGACGTCACAATGAATATATATACGACACTGTGTTCAAAAATTTAAATATCAACTCTTGGATTGTGAACCTACAGAATGTGGAATAACGTCGGATTTAAAAAAAAGTTGATTAGGAAAGTTTTGATTAATCACATTTGGCGCTTTAATTCATATAAAAAAATATCTGTTATTAATTTTTTTATAACTAGAAATATTGTAATAAATTCTTACTAAAATTTTAAATAATTTCGTTAATTATAGGGAATTAGTAAAATTACTTAGTATATTGTATTTTTGTTATTTTTATTTAACTTTGTACGGGACCCAAACAATTCACAAGGCCGAAATCCTTCAATGGAGGGAGACGGGAAAATTTTCAAAGAAGATAGGCATTTAAAAAAAATAAATTTCGTCGTTACGGTCGGACCAGCTCTTCACGGTTGGGCCACCGTACAAAATCAATGTTATATGAAGAAAAATGATTAAAAATGTCCCGACACAGAAGAAACATAGTATTATTTTCATCCTTAAATCTGTATAATATTTGTCTGCAACAATTTTTACCCTAATTAAGGGCGTCACAGTCTATGTGAACTAGCATTTGTTAAAATAGTATTTTTTGGGCAATAAAGTTTATGCTTGTACTACGTAAAGCAAATCAAAATTCCCGCGGTTAGTTTTTCTCTTTCTTCTCGCAGTTGGTCTGAAAATTCAAGAAAAATGACAAAAATTAATAATATTTAAATTTTTCCATTAAAATCCATTGATTTACTTTAAAGAAACGTTTTTGACACATCGCTACGTCGAAAAATGAATTTATGATGTCAGGACGTATCATAATTGCAAAATTTTAAGTGGCCCAACTAACACTACATTTATTGGCCCAACCATCACTATCACGTCGTTTTACTTTTTTATTACACAGACAAAAAACGCATGAAACAAACATCAAATAAGGCACCACATTTTCAAAGAACACTCTAACGAACAAACTTAGTCAACTTACTTTATTGTTTGCATTTTCTTCTTTTGTTGAATTAACTTTTTCGGATACCACAAACCAGTTTTCCTTTTAATCTTTAGCGCACTTTTACAAAACAAGTCTGTACAAATTGCAGCATTTCACTAAGACTTGCTAAAAGTATCGTGAAAAGTTTATTACCATCGCTAGTAAGTATTTGCATACAATGGTAGATGGCGCTAATATGAAAGGGCTTTAAACACGATACTGGCCCAACCGTAAGGGTGGCCCGACCGTCCTGTCAAAATATTACGTAATGAAATTAAAAAAATATATTTGCAAATAAATATTAAGGAAAATTTAATGAATTTAAATTTTAATGGTTGCTTTATGACTCCAGCAGTACTTGACAACATCGGGACATTTCGTGTGACACGAGTATTTGCGGCTAAAAATAAACAAAACGATCTTTCTAAATAAATACCAACGAAGTTCAAAAAGTAAAACAATAAGTGAGATTAAAATCAAAAAGTCACAAAATTGATAATAATCGTCCGTAAATATCAATTTTATTATTTTGATTTTTGTAAATTTATTCATGAATAAGAAAATTTTGTAGGTTAGAAAATATTTTTTCTTTTATTTCTTTTTAATTTAATGAATGTAATTTAATTTTACTGTCAAAATATTACGTAAATAAATTTCAAAAATATATTCGCAAATATATATTAAGGAAAATATAAGAATTAAAGTAAAATATAATTTTTTTTTTCATCATTGACTAATGTCTAAGATGTTGTGTTTTAGCTTTTTTGTGTGGTATTTTGGCTAAAATAATTATTAATATTAAAAATGATTAAATTGATTTAATTTTCATATTTTTAATATTAATATTAAAACTAAATTTAAATTTCCCGCTTCATTTGCCACTCAAAACTGCTGAAGTTAAATATAGGTGCCCTCACATCTTTTTGGCTGCCTGCAGGTTACCATGTCAACGCATGAGAATGAGTGCGACAGAAAATTTGAATATCTCATTCACACCCGTGCGTTGCCATGGTAACCTGCAGGCAGCCAAACAAGTGTGAGTGTGCCATATACATTTAATTCTTACAAAGTAAACATTCATTTAACAAATATTGTCGTGGCAATCAGTTTATTAAAATTGCCGATAGATAGGGCTAACGATCCCGATGAGCGAAAAGTATTAATTTATTCAGAGTGTGGGGAGATAATTGATAATTATGAAACGAAAAATTAATTACATTAATTAATTATATACAATTATAATTAGATTTTGTGGAGTAACAATTTAATATTTCTTTTATAGACAAATAAATTTTCTTTCTTATAAGTATTTTATCATTTTCCTTTAATTAACCCAGCCTGAATAATAAAAAAAATTCTTCCTTCACAATATTATAAATATTTATAGAATTACATGTAAAGTAGAACGAAGTGAAAAATGCAAAAAATTCAAAACTATGTTTCCAAAGTATATAAGGTATTTAATAACGATGAAATAAAGTGTGAAAAAAATTTGCATTATTTCATCATATTTAAATACTTAAATAAAAATATATTCTGATCACGTCGCTTGATAAAATCACTTTTGTCCAGTAGTTGTGAGATTTGTTGGATGGATCTGATTCCATCCACTCTGAGTAAATTTGTAATGCAAGTGGCATCTATCTTGCAATTCTCGTACTACGAAAAAGAGACAGTATATTATATAGAGTAAAGGACAAAATGCAAACCATAAAACTTGAGTCACACTCGAGTATGTGAAATTCGAGATCCAAATGTTTAGAAAATCCTGGGGAAAAAAACCAGATCACGTGTTGATCTTAAGCTTTTGCAATCTCTCATTTCCACTATTTTTTGCCCTTTTTTTTCTTCTTTTCATTCTAACTCTGTGGAAACGAGCCTTTAAAACAGGAGCAGTTCTTTACACGTGGCGCTTTATCGAGGCTTCACAAGACTTTTTTTTAAGTGTTATCGAGCTACGAACGCGAATGATATGTTTATACTTCCGAAAGGTAATGTTTACTAGATAAAAGCAGCTGTCGTTACTTGACCGTTGTAAAAAAGATGATAAACTTTTTTACTTCAGAAAAAGAAAAAAACATTTTATTGTAACAAAAGAATGAGATAAGAAAAATGTACTATTACAAAAAAAAAAATTATTACTAGAGATTAAATTCGATTAAATTAAATATCAATTTTTTTAAAATATGAATTGTGATAACAATTTTTATACCTCACTTCACTGTGTAACGAACCAGTTTGTTACTTAAATATTATTCGCTGCCCTTCCGGGTGATTTTCCCAAATAATATATAATTTGAATTTGAATAGTATTCCCGCGCTACTACCAACTTAAATATGCTTGAGTGGTACGCGTGAAAAATTAGCAGACGATAAACGCACATGTATCCGGCCACCGGAAATTTATATTCAGAGAGAGAATAGCGTTCTCATAGTTAAGTGGTGTTAACCAAGATATAATATTAATAGTTGTCTCTGCGCAAATACAACAATTAGTATTCAGATTATAAAAGAAAATCAAAATAAATAAAGGATATTCAAATTATATCAGCGCAATATTTATTCGATTGAAATAAAATAATATTAATTAAATAATAAAGGACCATAGCGCAATTTTGATTCTTACATCGAGAAATCAAGATAAGTCCAATTTACTTATTCCTTTCGAAATGGTTATATTTCTCTTTTAAATATGTCTCCTCAACCGTCATATAACTAATGACTAATAGTTATAATTGTTATTCCGGAAGAATTCTTAACTTTGTGCCATCCGTATAAGTCGGACCCATTTTAACTAATTAATTCTTATATGGTTTGCCACAACTGAAATAATTTTTATATTTTAAAAACGCTAGTAAATATCAAATTTTTAACTTTTATTTTACTATACACCTATTTTCTGTTCAATTCGTTCTTAAACTGTCCCAATAGTTTTTAGAGGAAAAATTTTAAAGCTTTTGAAAGTTTTCAGTTATTGGAAAAATTTTTCTAAACTATAATAATAACTTTTTGTCGAAATATCACGGTTATTTTCAAGATTGTATATATATATATACAGAGTTTATACTACATATTTTATATTTGTAAAATTGTAATAACTGAAGAAAATAAGTAGAAACTTGGAAAAATATGTCTTTGTTGTCGTGAATACTACAATATGTACGAAAAATAGAAAACGTTACTCGTTTCAATCCTTTTTGCAGATTTCTATTTACGTTTTCCACCGAGAGAAAGTGGCAATTTTCAGAATAGGAAGAAGCATCGCTATACTTTCGCCCGAAGAGAAGAATCATTTTGTAAACTTGGTAAACAAACAAAAAGAAGATATGTCGTGAAAAAAAAAGTTATATACAAAATTTGAAGGCTTCGTTGCACAGAAACATTTTTTTTATATGGTGTTTATGTAACCTTTTTTTTTAATCGAAAAAATGTCATTTTAACAAAAAAAAATTCTTTGCCATAAGAAAGAATTTTTTTTTTATTTAACTGCTGAATGGGTTTTGAAAAAAAATAAATTAAGATTTTAATTAGGAAATTCTTGGAATTTTTGCAAAGTTGAAAATTGATTCTTCTATGACGACTGATTGAGCAAACAACTCGATGCACTGCGATTTATTTTCCGCTTGACTGTTTTAACTGCCATTCGAATTTATTGACCTGTGCGCTGATTGTCAAATAGTTACTCTAATTAAGGCATTATGTACTAATTTTTTAAATTTGTGATTCCTTTTTTCATAGAGTGGAAAAGCTTTTTTGTTTCTTGACAAAAGACAATACATAAAATGGTATTTTAATTTTATTTACCACATTCCGTATTCCACTTTCAAAATTTCGTATTTCAGATTCCACATTCCGAATTTCGGAACCCACATTCCGTATTTCACTTTTCACATTCAAAATTCCGTATTCCACTTTTCACATTCCAGTTCCGGATTCCATTTTTCACATTCCTCTATTTACATTTCGGATTCCACATTTTCTGATTTTGATTGATTTTGATTCTGAGTCTGAAAATGGAATATGGAAAGTGGAATCCGGAATTTCGGAAGTGGAAACCTAAATGTGGGATCCGGAATGTAGAAAGTGGAATATGGAATGTAGAATAAAGGGCCTGGAATACGGAATTTTGTAAGTGGAATCCGGAATGTGAAAAGTGGGATCCGGAATTCGAAGTGTGAAAAGTGGGATCCAGAATGTGGAATCTAGAATATGGAATACGGAATAAGATACGTAATTGACCCCGTGGAGGTCAATTACGTAACTTTTTCCGGATCCCAAATTTCACATTCCGTATTCCTCTTTTCACAATTCGGATTCCATATTCCGGTTTACAAATTCCGGATTCCACACTCAAAATTTCGTATTCCACTTTTCAAAATCCGTATTCCGAATTCCATTTTTCAGATTTCGGTTTCCACATTTCGGTTTCCACTTTTAAAATTCCGGATTCCATATTCCTTATTCTACTTTTCAAATTCCGTATTGAGGATTCCACTTTTCACATTCTGAATTCTACATTTCGGATCCTGTTTTCAAAATTCTGTATTTTATACTCCACATTCTGGATTCCACTCTCAAAATTCCGTCTTCCGGATTCCACATTCCGAATTACACATTTTACATTCCGGATTCCAAATTCCGGATCCTATATTCCACATTCCGGATCCCACCTCCAACATCACACATTACGAATTTTATTTTCCACATTCCGCATTCCACTTTTAGAATGTGGGATGTGGAATCCTGAATTTTGAAAGTGGAATCCGAAATGTGAAATTCGGAATGTAAAAAGTGGAATCCGGAATATGCAATATAAAATACGGTATTTTGAAAGTGGGATCCGGAATGTGGAATTCGAAATCTGGGGGTCAATTACGTAATTTTTTCCGGATTCCACATTCCACTTTTCACATTCCGTATTCTGGGTTCCACATTCGGGATCCCACTTTTTACATTTCGGATTCTACTTTCAAAATTCCGTACTCCACTTTCTACATTCCTGATTCCACATTCGGAATGTTGAATGTGTAATCCGGAATTTTGGAAGTGGAATCCGGAAAGTGGGATCCAGAATGTGGAATCTGGAATGTAAAAAGTGAAACCCAGAATGTAGGATCCGTAGTACGGAATGTGAAATGTGGTATCCGGAATACAAAATGTTGAAAGTGGAATCCAGAAAACGGAATGTGAAAAGTGGAATCCGGAATCTGAAATAGGGAATTTTAAAAGTGCGATACGGAATGTGGGATCTAGAATGTGGAATACGTGATGTGGGATCCAGAAAATGTTAAGCAATTGACCTTCTGGAATGTGAAAAGTGGAATCTGGAATACGGAATTTGAAAAGTGAATCCGGCTTGTGGGATCCGAAATACGGAATGTGAAATGCGGAATCTGAAATACGGAATTTTGAAAGTGGGATCCGGAATGTGGAATCTGAAATACGGAATTTGGAAAGTAGAATCCGGGATGTGGAATATGAAATTTTGAATGTGGAATCCGGAAAAAATTACGTTATTGTCCCCCTGATTACGATGCTTAACTATGAAGTTCTGAATTTACATTCTAAGAAATAATTGATTTTTAATTTTAGAATTAAAAAGCTACAAATACCTTTTTTTAAAAAAATTTTTTTTTCGTATAATTGAAAGGAAGAATAATCTGCCACACTGTATATTTTTATGAAATCTCCACTTTCAAGAGAAATGGTGGAAATTAAGTGCTTAATTAAATACAGCGTGGAAAGTTTTACAAGGGATAAGATAAAGAGACTTTCGTACCAAATTTTTCGCGTCGGAAAGAAAGAAAGAAGTACGAAATTGTGAAAAGGAAAAACAAGAAATGCTTTTTTCCTGGAGTAATTAACCATTTTCGTGAAAAGAAAAGGCGTTGGGAAAGTACAGGGGGGAGCAACAGACAGAAAAAAGAGACGTTGTGATTTCTTTTTTTTTTTTTAGAGAAAAGAAAAATAATTAAGGTTTCTATTTTTTTCGGAATGATGACGTCCTTCTGCCTCATTTCATTTTTCTCTCAGGGGGAGAATTTCACTTGGCAAAAAAAAAGAATTCCTTTTTTTTTTATTTATATTTAAATAATCTTTAAGAAAATATCAGAATAAATTCAACTTTTAGTTAAAATAAAAAGTTATATATACATTAAGTTAAAAGTTTTTAATAATGTTGAGAGAGAACATTTTTCAATTAAGCACTTCTATTAAGCGGCTGGAAAAAAAAGTCGAATGCATTTTGAGGCGTAAAGTGAGAATAGGATATTTTAATTTAAACTTTTTGCACTTTATAGTCTTCCTGGAGCTTATATGTACGTGAAACTGAAACTGTTTTCAAAGTTCCATTTTCTCTTTGGTTCATTTTTTTAAAAAATATAATTAAAATAATGGATAGTCTAACTGAAGTGCCACACACACACACGTATATATGTGTATATAAAAGTATATAATTGTGGAAGAAAAGCTTAAAAGCATAGCATAAGCTTTTTTTATTAGGGAGTGAGCTGGGTGTGGTTACTTAGTTAATATACTTCCTCATACATAAAACAAACTGAAAATATGTAAAATATATCCAGTCAGGAAAAAAAAATTTTTCTTTTTTTTACACTGACAAATGAAAATATTTTCAATTTGTCACAATTCTATTTCTGTACTATTGAAATTATAAAATAAATATTATTAATATTTACAAATTAGTTAATTAAAAAATTGTATAAAAAGCAGAATGTTAGAGAAAAAATTGTTTTATTTTTAAAAATATTGTTTAAAATTCAAATTGAATTTCGCGGTATTGATGAGATTGTGAGTTGTAGATGGCGCGATAAAATATTAGCAGACAAAACCATGCTGGCAACGATCAAGAAATATGAATTAATTAAATATGTATAATTACATAAAAATGTAAATAATTTTATAGCTGCAACATTTTATCAAATTGTATAAATGAAGACAATTTCACAAATAAGTGAAAAAAAC